TGGGACAGGGACATTGTAAGAGATCTGGACAAGATCGTGGGAAGATAGAAACGGAACCGGGTGCTGAGATGCGGCAAGGAGTTTGTCTGAGGAATCCAGGATAATTAGATCGAGCCAGGACTCTGAATACTGAGTATGATGGGTTGGATTGTAGGGTACTATGTAAAGCCTGAGAGAATTAAAGAGGTTTGTTAGGTAGGAATAATCAGAGGATGGTGCCAGTAAATTGGTGTTAAAGTCACCGGAGAGGATGATGTTTGAGTAGGAAGGGATTAAGTTGTACAATAAAGTCTCAAGTGATTCATCGAAAGGAATTCTAGGAGGGCGATATATGACAGCAAACAGAATGGCAGATGAGGTTGTGAGGATTTCGGCGAAAAGGTATTCAACGTGCGGAGAATCGGTTATGGAAGAACAGTGAAGGATTTTGGATTTGAGACTGTCATGGACAAAGAGACCTACTCCACCACCCGTGCGATCTACTCTGTCATGACGAAGGAGAGTATAGTTAGGTAGAAGGATCTGGGAGGACGGGATTGTGGGTTTCAACCAGGTTTCGGATACGGCAATTAAATGGTACAAGTAATGGAGAAAAAAGTCGTAAAATTCATCAAAATGGGCTAAGAGTGACTGAGCGTTGACGTGTCAGGTTAGAAGGATATTAGTCATGGAAGAAGGAGGGGTGGCTTAGTAAACGGACAGATGGAGTTAAGGATAGGAATATTTCTACAGCAGCTAGAGCCAATATGAGCCCAGAGACCATAATTATTGATATTATCTCTATTGAGAGGAACAATAAGTGTGCAAGATTTCCTAGATATTAATAAGGATGGTAAACCAAAAATATAAAATTTAGTTAACGAAAAGCATATTCCTATTGTGCAAAAGAAAAAAAATACATAAATTAGAATTTCTGAACAGATCAGACCTAAAATATTCTCATAAACAAAAATGAAATTATTATCATAGTCTATTATTAAAACAAACGCAACAAAAACATAAACCTGGGGATATAAAAAAGTAAAAACAAGATTGTTCAAAGTGATGTAACATGTATATGCATGTCAAGCAAACGTGTCTAAATCTGATGGTGAGTTGATGACGACGACCTGCTGTCCATCGTCTCGTCGACATTTCACCTTGCCTACGCTAAACCAACTGTACCTGATTTTTCCTGCAGACCTGTTTTGCCGGGCCAGCCAGTACAGGTGTCTGTTGGTTACGGACATAGCTTCGCTCAGGTAGATCTTGTGGGCTTCATTTTCTTGCCATCCGAGGTGACGTGTTGAAAAATCCCTAATGACTTTTCGCCTCTGGATCAACTCATCCATAAGCGACTGCCGGACGAACCTTACCACAAGCGGCCCGGGTGTATCGTCTTGCCTGGTTCTTATCCGTTCTGCATAGTCTATGTCCTCCACCTTTAGACTAAGGCCCAGGCCCGCCCCCACGCTCATCACCAGGCTCATCGGGGTCTCTCCAGATCTCACTGGGACTCCTCTTATTTCTATTGACCTGGAAAGGTGCAATTGCTCCCTTTTATTGAGCCTGATTTCGAGCTCCGAGACCCGAGACTTGAGAGTCGTGTTTTCCAGAACCAGTCCATCAATCTTGGAATTTTGAGCCTCCAGTAGTGAATCTATAGTGTCTAATTTCGCCGCATTCTCAAAAGTTACAGCGGCTTGCTTTTCGAGAGATATTTTTAATTCTTTCACCTCGTTATCATTGGCATCGAGGGAGAATTTTAATCCCTTGACCTCTTCTGTTAGATTTTTAATGGCAGCAAGTAACAATTGTGACGTGCTGTCGACAGTTTGTTGTGGCGCCGATCTTGGGGGGCTAATGCACTTGTCTGTCGGTTGGATATTTTTCCGAGCCTTTTCACATTTCGGACATACCCAATTTTTCATTATATGGGAGTGTAAGGTACCTATCTTTGCAACGTCAGGGGATTGCCTCCTCGGCTGCTGAGCCCTGGATGTGTAGGGGTTGTCCCCCTATCATTCTTGGCGGTCTTACCTTACCCTATCCTTGCAACGTCAGGAGATTGCCTGCTCGGTTGCTGAGCCCTGGATGTGCAGAGGTTGTCCTCCTATCATTCTTGGCGGTCTTACCTAACCTATCCTTGCAACTTCAGGGGATTGCCTCCTCAGTTGCTGAGCCCTGGATGTGTTGGGTTGTCCCCCTATCATTTTTGGCGGTCTTACCTAACCTATCCTTACACTTAGACCCAATCTCTCCTAACCTATAGATCCTTTCTCCTTTCGTAGGAATAACTTGGTTGTCCCTCGTTTTCCTACAGTCCCCCTTGCGTCTTTCAGGTTTTCCCTGGGAGCGTGAGGCCACCTATCCTTGCAACGTCAGGGGATTGCCTCCTCGGTTGCTGAGCCCTGGATGTGTAGGGATTGTCCCCCTATCATTTTTGGCCGTCTTACCTAATATACATTAACCTATCTAAACTTATACACACCATCCTTACAAAGGTAATTAGATACACGAAGACCAGGTTAATTGAATAGCAGAAAGATTAAAGGTTAGAAGGACAGATTTCAGATTTTAAAAGACAAATGTCGACAATAACAGAGAGACAGAGAGATAAAAAAAAATTACATTTTGGCATCCCTTGTAAAGGAACGATTAAAATAACCAACTCTTTGGGTTAGAATTGGATAACATAAATGTACCAGTTACCGAAGAAATGTCCCAAGATTATGAGAAAGGCCAAGGGAAGAGGGAACAAGTGATGGAGGCTTATACAGAAGAAACCTCAGCAACAGAGCACTATGATAATCCATTAACAGAGCACTAATATTTGAGATCCAGGAAAGATAAGGCAGGATCCAGGAGCATCGAGAGTACAGACCAGGAGGAAGAAGGTCAAACAAAGAAACTTCTTGGAAACACAGAGATGTGGATGGAAATGATGTTTGCTAAACTATCAAAACAGTTATGAGAGCAGGCGTTAGAATCAAGAACTGAAATGGAACAACTATCCGAAAGATTCAAGAAACAGACTTTAGAATCTAGAGCTGAAATAGGACAACTAATATCAGAAAGATTCAAGGAACAGGCTTAAGAATCTAGAGCTGAAATAGGACAATTAATATTAAAGGTTAGAAGGACAGATTTCAGATTTTAAAAGACAAACGGAACAGCTGTTGATGTTAAATAAGGTGAAAGGTTAATTTAGTTTTGTCTTCCAAAAAAGTGTAAATAGCTAATTTTTGTGTAACAAAAGTGTTTTATCAAGACAAGATTGCTAAGGACAAAACACCAAACAAAGATTGAGCGGATTTCACCGCCAACAATGATGGAATCATCTCAAACTGAGGAAAGTAACATGGACTTTAAAAACAGTGATATAAACAATGAAGACGGCTCCTGGGAACTGGTTATTGGTCGTAAAAGACCTATGATAGATTCGAGCGAGCCAAGAGCTCAAAAAAGACCGACAGAATCTATTCCAACCTCGAACAGTTTTCAGGTTCTAACCAACATTACTAATTTACAAACAGAAGAAGTTAGAAGAGCATCTCAAAACAATAAAACTCCTCCAATTTTTATAAACGGTGTTGAAAAATACCATGCATTAATCTCATTTCTAGAAAACAAAACGGGTCCTAATATGTTTAAAACTAAGTCTACATTGAAAGGTGTCACTGTGTACCCAGAAAATCCTGACGTTTATCGAAAATTAAACTCAAGCCTACGAAATAAAGGCGCCGACTTCCATACCTACCAACTTAGACAAGACAAATGCCCAAGGATTGTTGTTAAATATCTTCACCATGGAACACCAATCGATATCATTAAAGAGGAATTTAAAAAATTTGGTTACGAAGCCACCAATGTAGTTAACGTCATATCTAGATTCAAAAAACCCCTTCCTATGTTCTTTGTGGACATTTCAAAAGAGACATTTAGAGAAGAAATTTTTAGTATTGAATTTCTATATTATTCACATATTAAAATTGCGGAACCGCGTCAAAAGAGAAATATTCCTGAGTGTGTTCGGTGTCAGCAATATCGGCACACTAAAACTTATTGCGATGAGAAGGAGTTAGTTGAGGGTGCGGTCAAATAAATAAAAAAATTACAAAATATAAATAATTTTAATTTTTGCCGACGTTTCGACCCACTTTGCAGGTCGTCTTCAGGGCGTAATTTGTGGTACTGCGGGAGGCAGTTCATTAAATTAGATTAAAACTTATTGCAATCATCGACCACGATGCGTAAAGTGCGGTGAATATCATGAAACCAGCTCATGTTTGAAAACCAGAGACACCCCCGCGAAATGCGCCAACTGTGCCGGTCAGCACCCCGCTAATTACAGAGGCTGTCAGACGCTGAAAGATCTCAGGGTTCAGCGCAATGCAAGAAATCGTCTTCAGCGTTCCACAGTAGCAGAGCCAGCGCAGGGACCTCCAGGCATGCATGAATTCCCCCCAATAGGGCAACGTCACAACCAAGGGGAACCACAGATCATCGCAGGACCTCCGCAACAACAAAATCAAACATCATCTAGTTCAGCACCCCCGAACCAGAAAACATGTACAGGTACGAGGAGAGGGGGGAAGGTTATCTACCTATGATAAAGTATTATTGTGCTTCTCAGTGTTTTGTATTTTTCAAGTTTGTTCTGTTAGTTTTGTTGTATCGTTTCCTACTGATTGTGTTATTTTAGTGTTTTATAGTTTTTTGAACATGATTTAGTTTTATTTTATGTTTATTTAGTTAATTTTATAAACCTTTTGAGTGAACAGTGGAGGTTAAGGTTAACTTTGAGGTTTCCACGAAGGTTTAATCTAACCAAAAGGACGTTTAGAGACTATTACTTTGGCGAAGCACTAAGGTAAGTTCATATTAAAGTCTTACTTTTGAAGATAGGAAATTTATAAGTTTCCCGAACGTAGGTTAGATTTTGAGTGTTGAATATTTCCTTCTACTGTTGTTCACCCATTATTTCAACGTATAAAGTTGTTAATTTTGGATTGCGTAAGATGGCTGATGAAATTGCATCAGCAATGGAGCAGGAAATGGTGGAAGAGCAGGCTATAAAGTGCCCAAGGCCTTCAGCAAAGAGGCAAAGGAAAGGATCTCCTGACGCCCGAGAAGAAACAGATAAAGAACGTATAGACGATAGTCTTCTGCAAGATGCACGTAGAATCAAAGAAAACATCAGGGTCTACATGAACGCAACAGACAGGAACGTGAGTGCGAAGGTACAAAAGCACGTTAATGGGAAAATCCAACAGTTAATAGATATAATGGAGACAATATATGATAAAAACTATGAAAAAACGTTTTTAGTACAACGTGTGGTAAAGGACACATTAGCTTCCTCTGAAATGTATGATATCATAGTAAATGCATTAGTGGAAAAAGCAGTACCTATGGTTATCGAGGGAATCAAGACGGAAAGTAAAACCATACAAAGACCACTGTCAGAACCTCAGACATCTCGGGAGTTTCCATGCGTTAAAGAACAACCGCTATTAGCCGATGCCCTTATTGAGACCACGGAGAATGAAAGTTTCCAGGAAGTAAAGAAAAAGCAAAGAAGGAAAAAGGCTTTTCCACAAGTGGCCAAAGAGATCGAGGCCTCTAAACCTATAGCAGAGGAAAGTTTGACCAAGAAAAGGTCTACACATCAGACTACGATGGCCGATATTGTTAAAGGGCTTCCATTAAAACCGATGGATACTACAAGACCAACTTATGTTACCATCGCTTCTCAAGGTAAAATTGCAGCTGACATCATCAACAACCTGCCTTCTCCAACTGAACTAGGAGTCAAGGCGAGAGTTGTACGGGCGACCAAAGCTGGCTCAGTTTTAGTTTGTGTAGATGATGGTGCCCATGCGAAAAAAATAATTGAATGGCAAAAATTAAAAGAAGTTGGGATGGAGGCAAAACTAGCCTTAAAAAGAAAACCAAAAGTGGAGGTAAAAGGAGTTCCCCTTTCATGGACTGCGGAAAATCTAGAAAGGGTGCTACGGGAAAGGTTGGCTTCAAAATCGGCCGATATTTCTGAGAACCAATTAGGTAATATAAAACCATTGTTCTCATCAATGGCTAGAAATAAAATTAGCAATAATTGGGTGTTAGCAGTACATCCAATGGTAAGATATAATCTATTTAAGGAGGAGATAATTACAGGAGGTTGGTGGTCACTGACAATCATAGATTACCCCGATGCTCCTCCCTGTCTAAGGTGTCAGGGATATGGACATACAAAAGCTACTTGTGAGGCAAATGGCATAGTATGCAAGTGGTGTGCGGCGAGTGGGCATATTGCTAAAAACTGTCCCGCAAAAGTAAATAAGACCGCACCTACATGTGTTAACTGCGTGTGGGAAGGTGTTCAAAAAAGTAAGGCTAAACACCAGGCAGGAAGTAGAGAATGCCCGGTGCACATCAAGAGATCTCAAGAATTAGTGAGGAGAACTCACTATGATTAGACTCAACATCCTGCAGTTGAATATGGGCCGCCGGCATATTGTGGCTGACGAACTTCGCGCCATGGCACAACGCTACGATATCATGGCGGTCCAGGAACCTAGCTGCCGTGGGAACAGGGTTACGGGGTTTGGCCTCACGTCAAGAGTTATAGCCCTGAGCAGTGGAGAGAGGAGGCCCAGGACTCCTCCCCCAGCAGTGGGGGGAGGAGGCCCAGGAGAGAGGCCAGGGCTGCAATAGTGATTAATAATCCTAACCTTGACGTGATGGATCTGAGACAACACACCATGGCGGATTATGCATCTTGCTATGTTAAGTGGGGCAAGATTTCTTTCACATTGGTATCGGCATACCTTCCTGTGAATAGTGATGTCCTGCTCTGTGGAAGCTCGTCTTTGATGAGTTACTGGAAGTGTTAGAGGAGGAGCGGTTTCCTGCCACTGCTTACGTTGACGACCTAGCTGCTGTGGTGGCCTCCAACAGCAGAGCTGGAGTCAAGACAGAAGCAGAGCGATGCGCCAGCCTAGTCGCTAGATGGTGTGAGGGGAAGAAGATGAGGATGGCTGCTGCTAAGACTCAAGCCATCCTCCTTAAGGGAAAGACTGATAGGGCACACCCTATAACAATGAATATAGAAGGCCAGAGGATACGTCCAAGTGAGGTGGTAACCTACCTAGGAGTTAGGTTAGGTTTAGGCCTATATGTGACACCTCACTTGGAATATATGGCAGGTAAGGTGGCCCTAGCAATGAACGGTCTAACTTGCGTGAGAGGCGCATTCCAGGGCCTTAGGTATGCAGCCAAAATTACACAGGTCTGGTGCCCAAATTATGGCCCACAATAATTTAACTGTAGGCTCCTTGTCAGTTCTTATATGGAATGCCAACGGACTGAAACAGCACAGTACTGAACTCGACTTATACTTGCACGAAAAACGAATCGACGTATCTATCATTACAGAAACACACCTGACATCCCGGTCAAAAATTTACATTCAGGATTACACAATTTACAGAACTGATCACCCAGATAAAACTGCACATGGAGGAACAGCTATACTCTTCAAAAATTCACTGAAACACAATCCCGTAGACTTACCCATTACACCCGACATACAATCGACAGGAATAACACTATACACTAAACACTACACTATAACATTTGCCTCAGTTTACTGTCCCCCTAGGTACAAGCTTATACCCACGATGTTTTCTGAGTTCTTCAAACGCCTCGGAGGATGCTTCATCGCAGGTGGAGACTATAATGCTCAGCATCAAGGTTGCTGGGGCTCAAGGTTGTGTACCCCAAGAGGCAGAAATCTCTGGTCTGTTCTCCATGAACTTTCATTAGACACTGTAACACCAAATTCACCGACTTATTGGCCCACCTCCAGACGCAAAACTCCCGACTTACTTGATTTCTTTATTACAAAAGGACTAAGAACCGTACCATTTGCCGTCAATGCAACCTCCGATCTTTGTTCTGATCACTCCTCAGTGCACATGGTTCTCTTCGATGAGCCTTCCGAAGTACAAAAACGACCTAGGCTCATAAAAAGCTGCATGGACTGGGACGCATATAGAGACTATTTGGACACCCATCTGTCTGTTCCAGGTTCAAGTAAAAATCATCAGGAATTAGAAGAAGCTGTTGAAAAATTCACAAAAAGCATACAAGATGCAGCATGGGCCTCATCAACATCCAGGTCACAAAAAGCAGCGAACTTGCCCCATTATCCTATGTTCATAAGGGACTTGATTAGAGCAAAGAGAAGAGCACGTAAAGTATGGCAGACTAATAGACTTCCTTCAGACCGACAAACTTTTAACAGATTGAACAACGAACTTAAAAGACATATTCAAAAATTCAGAAGCACAAACTACGACAATTTTATTAACAACCTTTCGACGGACGATGGAAGTTTATGGAGACATACAAGGAATCTTTTAAAGCATCGTGAGGTGTCAGCACCCCTACGAAGAGAGGATGGCTCTTGGGCTGTTTCGGACGAGGAAAGATCTGAACTCTTTGCTAACCACCTCTTTCCACTGTTTTTAAACCACATACAGACTTAATTAATACAGAACACGATATTTTTGTACATAATAACTTAGACATACCGCTACAGCTCACACTACCACCTTTCACACCATCACAAGTTGCACAAGAAATTAGACAATTGCCCAAAAGAAAAACCCCTGGTCATGACTTGATAACTGCTGAGGCGCTCCAGCAAATGCCAAGGAAAGCTCTAGTGTTTCTTACCACAATCTTCAATTGCATTCTCAGGACCACCAAATTTCCTATACAATGGAAATACTCATACATAACCATGATTAAAAAGCCAGACAAAGACACTAACAACCCTTCTTCATATCGACCAATTAGTTTACTTCCAGTATGTTCTAAGTTATTCGAAAAACTATTGTACCCACGACTATTACATATACTAACAGACAGACAGATTATTCCTGACCATCAATTCGGGTTTCGAAAATTACATTCAACAACACAACAATTGCACAGGGTGACTGACTACATCTCTACAGCACTAGAGCGGAAATTATATGCAACCGGAGTATTTCTGGATGTCGCCCAAGCGTTCGACAAAGTATGGCATCAGGGGCTTCTCTTCAAGCTTAAGACCATACTTCCACATACTACTTAATTCTCCATTCCTTTCTCTCAGATAGATTTTTCTCCGTTCGACATGGCCAAGGCCTATCCTCAATTCGATCAGTTTTAGCTGGCGTACCTCAGGGATCAATCCTAGCCCCACTACTGTACATCACATACACACACGACATTCCTCAAAGTATCCACACTCTTACAGCAACCTACGAAGACGACACTGCTATCATTACCAAGCACGACAATCCTACAGAGGCATCACTTAACTTACAACATCACTTACAAATTATACTCGATTGGTGTAAACTTTGGAAAACTAAAATAAATTATCAAAAGTCACAGCACATCACATTTACTCTAAGACCAGAAACATGCCCTCCTGTATACTTAGACAACATACCGATTCCACAAACAGACAGAGTACAATACCTAGGCCTTACGTTCGATAGGAGAATGACATGGGGTCCACATGTGAAGAAAAAACGAATCACATTAAATCTAAGACTAAAATTGTTACATACACTGTTAAGACGACATTCCAAATTAAAAGCAAGACAGAAACTAAGTATTTACACGTATCTTTTAAAACCTCTTTGGACTTACGGACTACAAATATACGGAATTGCAAAACCAATTCACATAAAAAAACTTCAAACTTTTCAGTCTAAGATGCTACGGCTAATCACTCAAGCACCATGGTACGTAAACAATCACACTTTACACACCAACCTACACGTTCCGACAGTCAATGAACACATACGAACGTACTACAAACGATTTCATAACATGTTAAACGGGCACTCCAACCAGCTTGTAAAAGAAATGGCCACAACTAGTATGCCCGAGAACTCCAGAAGACGACTGAAAAGGGTCTGAATGAGGGATCTGCTTAAATAATGTTAGTAAATAAAAGCCATGGAAGGGATACTGCTGGGTATTGCTATTCCTTATGCCTAACAAGCCTTTTTATTTATTTATTTTCTATTTTATTTTATTTTTCTCTCATTACTAAGCCAGCACATCTGCTGATTGTCAATAATAATTGACATTGCATGTTAACAATAATTGCATCTTGCTATGTTAAGTGGGGCAAGATTTCTTTCACATTGGTATCGGCATACCTTCCTGTGAATAGTGATGTCCTGCTCTGTGGAAGCTCGTCTTTGATGAGTTACTGGAAGTGTTAGAGGAAGAGCGGTTCCCTGCTACTGCTTATGTTGATGACCTAGCTGCTGTGGTGGCCTCAAAAAGCAGAGCTGGAGTCAAGACTTAATACACCCACATACTGGCCAACAGATCCCAACCGCAATCCCGACCTTCTAGACTTTTTCCTCCACAAAGGTCTAGGATCACTACACTGTTCTATTTCAAGGTTTGATGATCTTTCCTCAGACCATAGTCCTCTAGTC